ATAAAATGTATCCTATGACACTCCCGTAATCAAGACAAATCTAACGATACCTCATACATCAAAATCCATCAAGCCGTTTAGGCTACAGGTGGTCACAAAGGAAAAGACATACATACATACTTACATACACTCGAAAAACATTACCCTCCTTCTTTGGCAGTCGGGTAAAAAGAGGAAGACCGCACACACAATGGGATGACAAAATCCACCATGTGGTTGGAGTACGCTAGCTAGATACAGCAAAAGATTGAGAAAGATGGAAGTCTCTGGAGGAGGCCTTCACTTCAGGGGTTCCCTAAAATTAAACTTTATACAATAATATGTTTTTTTTTTAATATTCTTATAATTGGGAAATATAAACCTTTTTTATATTCCTTATTTACTATTTATTATAATGTATCCTTGCATAGATTATATGTTCAATTGTGGTAAATGAGGGCTAGAGAAAAAATAATATAGTCAAGTCACAACAATTTAAATTGTCAAACACCAAGCGGTCACCGGTGACCGCTACCTATTGTTCTATAATGACGGTACTCAACGAGTTAATTCAATTAAACCAGAAAGGCACTTTTGAATGTTAAAATTTACAAACACAAAGTTATGATCACAGAAAATATAATGCAACTATTGATTACATCAGGCGTTTTGTTTATACATGTATTTAATTGTTTTTTTTTTTACCAAGCTATAGTATATATGACATAAATGTGGATTTTCTGGACAGATTATCGCTAATGCGACCAAAATAACAACTAAAATCAAAATAAAAAAATAACCCGAAAAGAAACCATAAAAGGTCGAGCTAGAAACTTAGTTAGCAGGCTAAATCCACATGAAATCTTACCAGTAAGCCGAAGCAATCCATTATCATATCCGAATAAACCTCTTTTTGGCCTAAACTCTCGTATTCAATGTTCAAAACACGACATTTTTTCATATTTCCGCAACATCGACATAAACCGCCATCAAACAACGGTCCTTTGCCCTTTATTGTAGCCATTTTTTAATAAATAACACTCTTCTCTGGTTACATAAATTATATTAATGCTATTTAATTCATTTGCTATAATAATTTTGCTGTTTTACATACAAAAAATCAACATAATTCGTCAAATTAGAACTTTCGTCAATACAACAGGATGACAACATTGACAACTGTTTTACTGAGTTGCCATTGCCAAGTCAAATAGGAGGATATTTTTTTTAGTTTTTGGGATAATGTTGCCAAGAACATAGAACGTTAAAAAAATAAGTAGTAAAAAAGCGGGAAAATGTTTCAATCAGTCAATCTCATATTCCTACTTTACGTTAGAAACGTGTCTTTTATTTTTTTAAGGGGAAATATCATCGGATTACAAAAGACGTATCTAAATTTGAAAAACAGCACTTCTGCTAATTTTGTTTATTAAATGCTATAAATAAAGATATAGCTAATAATTGCTGGCATTGCCCGACTGCCTCGTTGACCGAGTGGTCGCAAGTGCGACTGCTGGGCAAGGGGTCTCGGGTTCGGTTCCCGGGTCGGGCAAAGCATTATGGGTTTTAAAAAAATTCTCAGTAGTAGCACGGAGTCTGGAATTGTGCCCGGTATATGGCAATCCATATACCGGGCACAATTCCAGACTCCCTCAATTGAGCCTATTGAGGCTCAACCCCTATAACATGGGACTCATAACATAAATAGTAAAAAGTGGGTGTTACATTGTACAGTGGCATAATGTACACCTCTGCCTACCCCTTCAGGGATAAAAGGCGTGATGTTATGTTATGTTATGTGCTAATAATTGCTATTAAAACTGCGGGAATAGAACTAAAAATATATTGCAAAAAGTGTATTGCTGAATGTTTTAAATATCGATCTAATTTTAAAAGATGTCGCATATAAACGCTTTTTACAAATTTTATCAAATAAAACAATTATGTTTGATCTAAAAATCTCATATTTATTAACTCAGATCAGATAATCTAACTTATATGGCTGCACACAACGCAAACATTGATTAACGCGGGTTTTTTCAAATCGTGCATCACGCATTACGAACCAAAACGTTACCCAGTCTCATTCAATAGTACAGTCACTTTTACATATAGTTACGCCACCGAACACATGTCCATGCTGTCTCCTTAAATGCCTCCGCCACGAATCTTTACTTTTAAACTTACTTACACAATAAGTACAGCAAAAAGATCTCAAATCTTCATGAGTTTTTTCATGACGTTTCAGGTCACAACTCGTAAAAAACCGTAACTCACACTTTGGACACGGATAATTCCGTTCCTTTATATGCACGCTACGAATGTGAGTTTTCAAATTTAACGGCTTACTAAACGTTTTGCCGCATTCCGGACAGTTACAA